ACATCGACTTTCTAATCATGTATATCATGACGTCGGTTTTTTCTGATGGAGACTCACGGAAGTGGATTAAGACTGTACAAGCGTATCTTTGCGATCTTTGCGAGTGATTTTGTCCATGATTGTTTATCGTCTGAGGAGGGCTCAATCCTGGAGCCGAAACTAGTAGCGCTAAGTTAATTTATATTAATTTTAAGTAATTTTAAGTAATTTTCCATAATTATATTTTTATTTTTATAGTTTTTATAATTAAATCTTTTTTATTTTATTTTATTACTTTGATTTCTATCATTATATTAAATGAATTTATATTTTGACTCTTACATCGCCCTTGTTATTTATTTATTTATGCAAAAAGACACGTCTTGTAATCATTAATGTAATTTGATACAACACCTGCAAAATGTAACATCTGCGAAAAAAGTTGTACAGAACGATGTACGATAACGATCTTAGTTCAGTGTAATAAAAGATTTTTTCAAAGACAGCTATGAGATCATTAATATAATTTGATGCAAATGTAACGTTGCCAAATAGTACACGTATTGATATAATGTAACAAAATTGTGAACATATACCGAATCACCTTAACACCCCCGAGCAGAAATTGAACCTCAGGGCTAGCTAGGCGTGAGATAGAAAATTGTGTCTTAGATAACCGCTGTCTAGTATTTCTGGCTAGTTACTAGCTAGTTATGTAACGCTCACTTCTCCTAGTAGCTGGACAAAAAATATTAGTTAGTAGCTAGACAGAAAATATGTTACAATCATAACATGGAAAATCATAGCTAGCTACTGGATAGTAATGTTCTCCTAGCAGCTGTATAAGAAAAATTATCTAGTAGCTGTCTAACCTACACTAGACAGCAACTAAAAATAGAAAAAAAAGATAATTTTTTGATTAAATCTTTTTAATTTATATTTCTACTTAATTTCTAGAAATAATTGTTATTAATTATATTTCCTCTCCATCTTTTGTTGTATCCTTTTGTATCCTATTGAGTGCTGAACGGGCCACTAGGAGAAAAAACTTTTAAACGATGGGATTTGAACTCGCGACTCCATCCACAGTCCAGGTTCTGAGTCGATCACCTAACGTGCTGCTCCACTGCTACCTTGTCGATAGAGATGTTTCAAATTGTCTATATATATTATTCAGCACAAATATATGATTTAATACCTAGTATAGATAGTACCGACTAGATAAGTTCCTAACTTATTTGCACTGGGTATAAGCCGCACTTAATATATGTATTTCGTAATATCTATAAATCTGCTTAGTATAATTATATCATTTTAGACCTACATCTTATTTACTAGGCAGCCACTAGACAGATTTCTTGGCATAAAAAATCTGTCTAATAACTGCATAGTAATTATAATCTTACACCTAGATCTTATTTACTAGGCAGCTACTAGACAGATTTCTTGGCATAAAAAAATCTGTCTAATGAGTGCCTAGTAATTATGATCTTGCACTTACATCTTATTTACTAGGCAGTCACTAGACAGATTTTTTCAAGTCAAGGAATTTGTCTAGTGGCTGCCTAGTAAATAAGGTGTAAGTGTAATGTCGTAATTATTAGGTGATCACTAAACAGATTTTTTCATGTGGAGAAATCCGTCTAGTAGCTGCCCAGTAAATAAGATATAGGTGTAACGTTGTAATTATTAGGTGATCACTAGACAGATTTTTTCATGTGGAGAAATCTGTCTAGTGGCTGCCTAGTAAATAAGATGTAGGTATAAGATCATAATTACTAGGCCGTCACTAGACAGATTTTTTATGCCAAAAAATCTGTATAGTGGCTGCCTAGTAAATAAGATATAGGTGTAAGATCATAATTACTAGGCAGTCATTAGACAGATTTTTTATGCCAAGAAATCTGTCTAGTAGCTGCCTAGTAAATAAGATATAGGTGTAAGATCATAATTACTAGGTAGTCATTATACAGATTTTTTTATGCCAAGAAATCTATCTAGTGGCTGTCTAGTAAATAAGATGTAGGTGTAAGATCATAATTATTAGGTAGTCATTAGACATATTTTTTTATGTCAAGAAATCTGTCTAGTGGCTGCCTAGTAAATAAGGTGTAGGTGTAACGTCGTAATTATTAGGTGTTTACTAGACAAATTTTTTCATGTAGAGAAATCTGTCTACTGGCTGCCTAGTAAATAAGATGTAGGTTTAAGATCATGGCTGCTTTCGATCAAGGCTTTTAGGCGACACACATCGACACAGTGTCGAACGCGGTGCTTTCCAACAACGACACGCCTCGGCACGATTCGACACAGCAGCTTAGACTGCTTTCCATCAAGGCTTTTAGACGACACACATCGACACAGTGTCGAACGCGGTGCTTTCCAACAACGACACGCCACGACACGATTCGACACAGCAGAAAAGCATAGTCGGACACTCTTGGTTATGGTTGCTAATTTTCGGTTGGCGCTTTAGAATATTTACATTTTAAATATATGTACGATATAAGAAGTACGTTCATAAGTCATCTGGATTATTTTAATGTAAAAAATAATATCTACGCATAAGATTATTATCCAACAAGAGACACAGAAGTGACACGGTGTGACACGGCAATCGTTGCATCCTCGTCGTTCGCTAATGTTAAATAAAGATGAGGTGATTGCTGTGTCGTAGATGGAATGCAACCCATAATTACTAGGCCGTCACTAGACAGATTTTTTATGCCAAAAAATCTGTCTAGTGGCTGCCTAGTAAATAAGATGTAGGTGTAAGATCATAATTACTAGGTAGTCGTTAGACAGATTCTTTTATACCATGAAATCTGTCTAGTGGCTGCCCAGTAAATAAGATATAGGTGTAAGATCATAATTATTAGGTAGTCATTAGACAGATTTTTTTATACCATGAAATCTGTCTAGTGGCTACCCACTAAATAAGATATAGGCACAGTATATCCAGTAGCGCAACTCTCTGTCGGCACCTTTGATGTTAGTGTCACACAAAATGAGTGCGCATGCGCGAAATAAGCAACATGCGCATGCGCGCCACCTAAACTTCTTTCTCACTTGCTCTTTACTCTCCATCTTTCCATCTTTTTCTAGCTACTCTATCTCATTGATATGTACATTAAATTAATCTAAATGTAATAAAAACTTAAAAAATAGACCATAATTGTAATGCATTGTAAAATAAAAAGATAAGAAAATATAAATTTATGTAAATATTGTGTAATATAAATATTATACCGTAAAAATATTTTAATAAAAGACTGCGACATATAGAATGCGTCTTTTCTCGTTAGATTGTTACTGTTTTTGTAAATTACTTGCATCACACAGAACGCAGATTTTCTAACTAAAACGTAAGCAATCCAGCAGAAAAACAAACATCATATATCGCAGGCTTAAGATATTAATATAAACAACAAAAAGTAAAATTTTATGTTATACGGATTACATTTAAGAAAATAATTACTGTAATTAATTACAATTATAAACAATATTTAATAATAACTTTTTTTAAATTAAATAAGATAATAATTTTTATATGCATATAGAATAAAAATAATCAACTGTGATAAATAAAATTTTAATCTTAATATAACAGTAGGAAGCAAATATTTATCAACATATTATACATATTTTAAAATATCATTACACATATGCCTATATATGTACAAAAATACTCTCTTCTTCAGCAACACCTGAAACAAAGCTAAGATCAAAAGTGCAAAAGTACAAGAGAATAGATAATTTATACAATAGTTGTATAGATTAACTATTCTCTTAGTAATCGTTCCTCGGTTTCACTTAATTTTTTCCACTTTTTCACTATTTTATTTCCACAAACTTTTCGGTCACAAACTAAATTCGTAGTTTCTCGAACTAACACAACTCAAACAGATGAAAATTATACTAATTTCCTTCAAATTTGAGCTTTCTAAGCACACACTGGCACACACCTAATCACAGGATCGACAGGATCTTTAAACGGAGCCGTTTAAATGGTCCTGACAAAGAGTGACAGAGAACGGATAAGAAGAAGTGAGAAAGAAGTTTCGGTGGCGCGCATGTGCAGGTTGCTTATTTCGCGCATGCGCACTCCATTTTGTGTGACATAAAATCAGGAGAGTTGCGCTACTGGATATACTGTGACGTAGGTGTAAGATCATAATTACTAGGGGTGTGTTCCCATTTGCTGATTTCCAGTATGGTATCCAGTAACCGCCATTATTACTGGGAGAAGCGTTCCCAAATCTCTAGTTTCAGTAAAATCATAACCTATAAAATTCATACGTGCTTCAGAGAACCGTTTTCTCGGGCGGTTCGCGAATTTTGTGCATATAAGCAGGTATATTGTTTTTATATTTGTTTCAGTTTTGTTATATTGTTTAATTAGTTATATTGTTAAATATAACAGTTGATGCTGTTATTAATTGTTTTTATTGTTAGTGGCTGATTTCTTTAAAATTATTGAAAAATTTTTGTTGGCTGTTTTTATCTATTATTATTTTTTATTATTGTTGTTAGTTTAATTTATTTTTTTTTCTATTATTTAATATTTATATGTTTATAATTTTGTATTTTTTAATGACATGTTTTATTTTTTATATATATTCCTTTTTCTCTTCTTTCTTGAAATATTGGATAAAGGGTATAATAAACATTCATACAAATTGTAATAAATAAATGAATAAGTAAAATAATTAAACATCATTTGACATCATTTTGTATATTGTTTAATATATTATTATATATTTAGGATTATGAAGAAAATGGCAGCGAGATTGTCCCAGACAAGTGAAGAACCAAGTACATCCACCAAGAAACAAGTATACCTTGAGTTTCATGAACTGATCCTGGTTGCCCCGCGTAACAGTGAATGAAGCGCATATCTGCATTGCATACAACCTGTACACATACACAACATAATGTACATATTACAAATAATCTGGTATCTATATAATTGTATTATTACTATTAGTTATCATAAAATGCTTGTTATTTTAAAAAATGACGACAACCTCTTCATATAAATACATTTTTTTCAAATAAAATATAAATAAAAATTCTTCAAATAAATTTAAAAAATTGATTTTTTAAAAGTTTACCATTATTTATCCCCCTTCAGGCAGTACAACTTTTATCTGAAACATTTTTTGACCTTCCATATTTTCTAAAAGATTATATGTTTCGCAACTTTTGACAAGCAGTGTATAAATGTATGTATATATTTACCTGTAATTGGATTGCATGATAATTTTTCCTGCATATATATGCTTCAGGATGAATTTTGGACTTAGGTATTTTCACGAGTGTGCCATCTACTATACCTATTACTCCTGGAAATTGGTGTTGTAATTCGATTTTTGTCCATGTCGCTTCGGCTTGTTCCCTTGTTGGCCAAGATATAAAAACGTTTCGCAATTTGTACAAAGCCTTCACGACTTTCAGTACACATCGCCAAGCAGTAGCTTTTCCGATATCAAACTTTGTGTACACTGATCTGTAATTACAATCATATTAAGTGGAAGGCTTTATCAAAGGGTTTATGAAGGGTTACAAAGTAATGTTCGTAAATAGGACTAATTTTAATCTTTTTACCTATACGAGTCTGGAGTTGCCAGCATCCATAATGCGATGTACAATTGTCTATTGGCTGATATATAGGGTATTTCCCAAAATATTGTGGCCACTTCTCCAAATCTGCTCGAATGAGGTCCAAAATGTAATCGCAGGTATCTCTATGTAGACTGCAAAAATGTTATAATTATGTTTAATTGTCATGGAATTTTTAATATGTGTACAACATATAACATTAAATTTATTAATAGTTTAAATGAGTTAAAAATAATGTCTTTCACACACATAGCATATGAAGCGTTATTGTCAGTGATAACAATTATTTTATTGTAACAGATGAAAAGACACACATTTTTGAGAATAATTAATAACTTACCGAAAATTAGATTTAAATTCCTGATCGTCGTACGAAGCAATAACATCAATGTAATGTTGCAATCTTGGCCTTTTGCCACGAATTATTCTATTCATATTTAATAATAATAATTCATCTATATCTGCATCGCTCTCAGAATCACTATCATCAGACGAATTCAGAAAATCGTTGACAATTGCAATTAAAGCGTCATTGTTCATCCTGTTTTGTGTACTTCTCCTCTAGAAATTAATAATAAGCTTTATATACAAATAAATTATTATACAAATAAATAATTATATATAATTAAATGAAAGAATATCATATTATACACACACACTTTGTTGTTTAATAATAATAATATTATAAATGTATTATAACAAAATTTTTTGCACCAAATAATAGATATTATCCACATGTATAAGTTTTTGGAAAATTAAAAAAATGATTAAACATGGAATTTATACAATTTACAGAAAATCAACCACTAACAATGAAAACGATTAATAACAGCATCAACTAATTAAACAATATAACAAAACTGAAGCAAAATAAAAACACAATACCTGCTTATATGCGCAAAATTCGCGAACCGCCATAGAAAACGGTTCTCTGAAGCACGTATGAATTTTATAGGTTATGATTTTACTGAAACTAGAGTTGAGAACGCTTCTCCCAGTAATAATGGCGGTTACTGGATACTATACTGGAAATCAGCAAATGGGAAGACACCCTAGGTAGTCATTAGACAGATTTTTTTATACCAAGAAATCTGTCTAGTGGCTGCCCAGTAAATAAGGTGTAGGTGTAACGTTGTAATTACTAGGCAGTCACTAGATAGATTTAATGAGATTACGAAATATTAGCTAGTGACTATCCAGTGACGAGTTAGAAATCTTATCTAGTTAATACTGTCTAGTACCTAGGTGGTAAATCAGATCGGCTAGATTCATTTCTGCTCGGGCCTATCCGATATATATCGAACAACTACCAATTCGCTATCAGTGTACTGTAAACAGCTCTTGAACTGCGATCGAACCACTATCAAACAGCTATCGATACACAATCAAACTGCTACAAACAGTTATAGAACAGCTATCGGTTTACTGTAAACAGCTATAGAACGGCTATTGAACAGCTATCGAACGGCTTTCGAACAGCCATCGAACCGCTATCAGTACACTGTAAACAGCTATTAAACTGCTAACGAACAGCTATCGGTCTACTGTAAACAGCTATTAAACTGCTAACGAACAGCTATCGGTCTACTGTAAACAGCTATAGAACTGCTATCATCAGTCTATTTTCAACATTTATCTACTGTATTTATATAATGTCTATCGTACTACTATGGAATGATACGGGTAGCAGAAATAAATGTATTAGCGCGATAATGTACATTTTAAATATATAAAATCATACAATTCTTCCTGGCGTCGCGATCACCAGTTAAATATCTTAAATATATTTTGCAAAGTACAATTCTTAGTGTTGATGCAACAACTCATTTATTTCGAGAATCGAGTAACTCGTATTCATTTTAGTAAAGAATCGAATCTGAACTCGAGTCCGCGGACTCGAGTCCGGTTTTGAGTTCTCGAGCTCAAGTTTGGACTCGAGTCGAATGATTTAAAGGTTAGATTAGATACAATTTAAATTCAACTAAATTGAAAATCTTAGTATTCGAATACCAGACCATTAAATATCCAACCAAACAGGACTTGAAAAATAACGACCTTTGATTTTACTCGTTTCATGATTCTCTGTTTCTCTGTCATGAAATACGAGTAGAACACATAAAGTATTACAAATAATACAAATCATTAAATCAGCACATAAGCTATAGGACTATATAATACTTACAATTAGGTTAGTTTTTAGGTAAAATAAACAGAAACAAATATACTTATCGATTTGTCAAAAACATTCATTAGAGATTTATGTTAATACAAAAAACATAAGATATACATTTTATTTATTCTTTAGCTCCTTAAAACAAAATTAATATTTCATTTAGAACATATAACTGATAACATGCACTTTTATTATTAAACGAAGTTTTTTTTTTTTTTTTTATGTAAGATCATTTCATATATAGAGAATTAAGACTACAGCATCTGTCAGAAACATTTGTTAGTATTATAACCCTAAATTCTATTAATAATTTTGGTATATAAATAATATACTTTACCGTGTAGTCGACTGCATCTAGAGGTAATAGTAGAGCACAATTAAATTTTAAATATAATTTTAATCTGACTAAATAAGTCAATCAATATTATTTACTTTTTCAGAACTTAAATAGGCATTTAAGAATAATATTTGGTCAATTTTCTTCGGTTCTAATCTGTTTTTTCGTTGATTACAAACGAGACCTGCCTTAGAAAATACGCGTTCTGACGGCACCGATGTAGCTGGTATACTTAAATATTTAAGTGATATTTCATACAAACCGCTATCAATTTTTTTTCTATTCTCCCAAAATTCAATCGGATTTAATTTTCGTTCCAAGTAAGGAAGTTCCACATACTGTTTTACTTTGATAAGCGCGGAGGATGTAGGAGTTTCGACGTTCATATGATCGTGCACTTTTTGATCAAAATGTTGCCACAGTTCTTCGTATCCTTCAGTGCTTTGTTGCTGTTGTTCCTGAGACTCATGAAAAGAATTTGAGGTGGACGAACGATCTTGATTTATCAAATTATACCTCATGAATTGAGTCAATTCTTCTACAACATATCTTTGTACACGATCAGCGTTTTCTTCCGTTCCAAATGCTGCCTTTTTAAATCGAGGATCCATAAACGTAGCTTTAGCGGCTGTTTTATTAATTTCAACGCACCCTAAGCGATTGTCAATAACATCTACAAGTGTCTTTTTTAACTGTTTCGCGATGTCAGTATCAGGGAAGTTGTTCCTTAATAAATGTTGTGTGCCACGAATTAATGGTATTACAGAAGACAATGTTGGATACTGCTCACCAGAAATTTTGACTGTTAATTGTTCCACCGGTTTCAAAATTGAAATACATTCGTGAAGTTCATTCCACTCTTCTGAACGTAAATTATCTGGAGGAGAAGGCAATGAGGATAACGCCGCAGATAAAGGTACCTTTAGTTTTTCTAGACGATCCATCATAATATACACTGAGTTTCACCTCGTTTGCACATCTTGTTTTAATTTTAATGGCTCCAAATTTATTTGCTGCTGTATTTCGCGAAGCTTATATGCAGTTTGATTGCTTCGTTTGAAATGAGATACGATTGTTCGACACTTCTCAACTAATTTTGATAGATGTTCATTTTCCTTTAAACAATCTTGGACTGCTAAATTTAAGGTATGAGCTACGCAAAAATGATTACGCTTGTTCAAATATTCGGAGACTGCTTTTTTTACATTAGCTGCATTATCAGTGACTATAGTTATCACTTTATCGTAAATCTTCCGTTGATTCTCCAAGATGTCTCTAATAGTCATAGCTATATGTTCTGCAGTATGATTACTTGACATCTCAGCTGTTGACAAAGTCAAAGCAATTAATTTTGTTTTGTATATAAAATGGACAGTCAACGTTAAAAAGCTTTTGTTACTGTCTGACGACCATATATCAGTAGTGACTGATAAATACTGTACCTTCTGCAACTTTTCTAAAGTCGCTGCACGAGCAAGCGAATAATGTTCGGTAAGAAGTTTTTCCGACAGAGTCTTTCTCAACGGAAGTACGTAATGTGGATTTAATTTATAAGTATAATTTTGAAATCCTGTATTCTCAATTATTTGCAGAGGTTGAAAATCCAAACATATCATTTCTACTAATGCTCTATCGATTGCTTTGGAATTTTTCTGCATAATCCCTTTCGAAAGAAATTTCATTTGCAGCTGTCTCTTGCGTGATGGAGGAACAGTATCAGATTGTGATTGCGCATTATTAGCCGCGGTAGTGTTTTTAGATGCAACAGCTTGAGTGGAAACATTTGCATCATGTTCATCTTGCATATATACATCAGATTTTTCACTAACTTCACTTTCACTTGCCGACGTCGCCGACGAATTACCTTCAATACCTTCTTCATTTAAAGTACTATAACGTAAAGGATGAACCTTTTTTAGTTTTAACATATTTGTTGTGTTTCCAAAATCCTTAAAAGTATTTTTACACAGCTTGCACTGAACTGTGTTTTTCGCCTCGTTTTTACTAAAAACTTTCCATATTACACTTGATTTGCGTTTTGGAGGCATTCTTTCAGCAATAAACAAACTAAAACTGTTACAACTATACAGTATATGAGTTTGAACTTTTGGACAAATTGATCCGCTTGACTTTAACAATGGCGACGTCACATTAGGCCGTGGGTATTCCGATTATGGTACGTTTCCACTGAGCGCGTCACGTGTCGCGTCGTCAAAAGAGAGAAAGAGAAAGGTTGTGTATTTATATCTTAGAACATATACTACTAGCCTAGTTTACATCGAGCACTTGATACGCGTACTAACTAGTTACTTTCTATTAAATTATCTTAATTTCAGCAATGTATTTAAAGAATGATTATTGTGTATACATTTACATATATCGCTGAAATTAAGATAATTCAATAGAAAGTAACTAGTTAGTACTCGTATCAAGTGCATGATGTAAACTAGGCGAGAGAGAAAGGTATAGAGTCCCAAATGTTTGCAATGCGCATGCGTCAGTACCATCGCATCCTCTATGTGAATTGTTCAGATTGGTCATTGCAAATATTGCAATCACATGACTTAGCACTTTAGCAGCCAATCATGAGATTCATTAATAATTAAAATGAACAATTCTAAATTATTCATTAGTTAAACTTTCGCTCGTATGATAATAAAAATCATAAAGAAACATATTCGGGTAGATATTTATCTTATTTCTCAAATCATCCATTATGTCATAAAAAAGGCATAATTTTTAGTTTGGTAGACAGAGCAATTTTATTGTCGAATCCAAAGTTTCCCAAAAAAATTTGGAAATGGTGATTAGGACTCTCCAAAATAATGGATATCCTTTAGAATTAATTTTTAGGACGATGAACGCGAGAATAAGAAAATTGAACAATTTATCTAATAATATTAACAATAAACAAGACAATATAAATAAAATGACAAAAGAAAAATTTTTTGTTCTTCCATTTATTCGAGGTGTCACGCAATCAGTCACGAAAATGATCAGTAAATCCGTTTATACCATCGGATATAAAAGTATAAATAAACTAAATAAATTTATTAGAGTACATAAAGATAAAAAAAGTTTATAAGATAACAATAATTTGGTTTATAAATTACACTGTAAAGACTGCGATGCATCATATGTGGGGCAAACGAAGAGAAGATTCAATACAAGAATAAATGAACATATGAAAAATAAAAACTTGGAGGCATCTAAACATTCGGTGGTTACGTTGCATTCACTGCAATGTAATCATAATTTTGAATGGAATCATGTCAAAATTTTAAACTCTGAATCGAATTACAATAAAAGACTGATTTTTGAAATGTTACATATAAAAGAGCAATCAAACGGAATAAAGGGCATAGGGGGGTAAGTATATAAAAGATGCCCCCGCATGAAATCGGTTCAAATTAATACCACATATTGCTACCTATATAAGTATAAAATCCTGTAAGTATGAACTGAAAATTCGCTTTTTTGGGGGAGTTATGGAGGGGGTAAGGAAAATAAAAAAACCCATTTTTCTCGGAAACTAATGAACCGATTTTAATAAAATTTAAATATGTTTTAAATGTAAGTGAGGCGATGTAGAAAAAAAAAGTTCAAATTTTTTTTCAAGAAAACTTAGAAAAAAATCAATTTTTAAATTTTCAACAATTTTTTTTTATTGATTTTTTAAAGATACACCTCTATTTTTTTTTCAAAAAATACTACATAGTGTCCTCTTAACATATATTTTTTTCAAATTTTTAAAAAATATACTTTTTGAGAAAAATAAGTTTTTGTAACCACTGACGCCGCGCGCCGACGCGGCATTAGACGAGCGGTGTACCCTCGAAAAGACGCACAAAAAATCTTCTTGACCGATCAATGAAAGCTGCCGGAATGAAACCAATTGGGATCGATGTATGATGTTATTGCGAACAAAAAATGTCAATAAAATTTTTTTGTACGAATGGTCAGTAATTAGTTATTAACAAAAAACTTAAAAAAATATGAATAATTTAATAAATCGTTCCGGAAACTCATGGACTAGCTAAATTGGGTCAAAATAAAATGTTTTTACTCTTGTCATTTTTTTGAAAAAAAGCTTCCTTTTCGAACTATAAGCGATGTAAAGTCGAAAAATGACCAAAAAGCGCCATCTTCAAACATTTTTTTCTCGGCTTCTACCAAAGCTAATTCAAATTTGTTTAATGAATAGTAATCTTTGAAACTTGTACTTTTGGCCCGTATTTTTTACATTTTGGCAACTTTTTATTATCATTATGAAATTTTCACTAGAACAAGGGTGATAATTGCAGCATCGCGCGTGGAATGGGGAAACTAGTAAACATAAAAGTGTCGAAGTGTTTGGTATTAAATTGTAATTTATTAATCTTTTACAACTATTATACATATAAAGCTGCATTTTGACATTCATCGTAAGTTTTATATTCATCGGGAAAGTTTGAATAGAAAAAGCGCGATATGTTTGTCGATTTGCCACGATTTTCTTTTGTTTAAACATGTTTCAATTTGAAGAACGCATTTTGTGCAAACGTGTTTAGTTGCATTAGCGTTTCGCCTTGAAATATTGTTTAATATTGTTATTGCAGCATATTATGCGTGTTAAATGGCAAGTCAATGACTGGTCTCAAGCAAGATCTAACCATATAACATCTTTAGACCCAACTCTACATGGATGGATATTACAGGATAATTTATTGTGCACTAATTATTTTGAGGGAGATACAACGATGGAAATGTTACAAAAATTCATTTGTTCCTGCAGTGGTAAGTCGCCCTGCCACAATGAAGAAATATGTTCATGTGCATATCAAGGGTTAAAATGTTGCGATCTTTGTTCTTGTTCTAAAAATTGTCAAAATCTTGATACATTGAATGATGATATAGAAACTTACGATGAATGTCAAAATGCAGCTTTATATGTATAATAGTTGTAAAAGATTAATAAATTACAATTTAATACCAAACACTTCGACACTTTTATGTTTACTAGTTTCCCCATTCCACGCGCGATGCTGCAATTATCACCCTTGTTCTAGTGAAAATTTCATAATGATAATAAAAAGTTGCCAAAATGTAAAAAATACGGGCCAAAAGTACAAGTTTCAAAGATTACTATTCATTAAACAAATTTGAATTAGCTTTGGTAGAAGCCGAGAAAAAAATGTTTGAAGATGGCGCTTTTTGGTCATTTTTCGACTTTACATCGCTTATAGTTCGAAAAGGAAGCTTTTTTTTCAAAAAAATGACAAGAGTAAAAACATTTTATTTTGACCCAATTTAGCTAGTCCATGAGTTTCCGGAACGATTTATTAAATTATTCATATTTTTTTAAGTTTTTTGTTAATAACTAATTACTGACCATTCGTACAAAAAAATTTTATTGACATTTTTTGTTCGCAATAACATCATACATCGATCCCAATTGGTTTCATTCCGGCAGCTTTCATTGATCGGTCAAGAAGATTTTTTGTGCGTCTTTTCGAGGGTACACCGCTCGCCTAATGCCGCGTCGGCGCGCGGCGTCAGTGGTTACAAAAACTTATTTTTCTTAAAAAGTATATTTTTTAAAAATTTGAAAAAAATATATGTTAAAGAGGACACTATGTAGTATTTAAAAAAAAAAAAATAGAGGTGTATCTTTAAAAAATCAATAAAAAAAAAATTGTTGAAAATTTAAAAATTGATTTTTTTCTAAGTTTTCTTGAAAAAAAATTTGAACTTTTTTTTTCTACATCGCCTCACTTACATTTAAAACATATTTAAATTTTATTAAAATCGGTTCATTAGTTTCCGAGAAAAATGGGTTTTTTTATTTTCCTTACCCCCTCCATAACTCCCCCAAAAAAGCGAATTTTTAGTTCATACTTACAGGATTTTATACTTATATAGGTAGCAATATGTGGTATTAATTTGAACCGATTTCATGCGGGGGCATCTTTTATATACTTACCCCCCTATGCCCTTTAAAGAAAGACACTGAATCTTTAGATGACATATATGTTTGTTTATTGGATTCAATTTCTAAAAACAATAAATAGAGTGGGATAAATGTGTGTTTGACTTTCCGATAGACAAAAGACTTATTCGCAATATGGTTTTGTCGCGACCAACATGTATATGTACAGTTTATAATTTATAACATAAGTTTGAAAAGAAATTGACAAATTAACAATATTAAAATACATCGTACCACTTGATATATTCAACAACAATTGTTTCCGTGAAAATGTGTCCAGCACTTTAATTTCATTGATCATAAATTAAACTAAGAAAGAATTGAGGTAAAAGTAGTTTATTTAAATTGTAGTCCAAAAAATTAAAGTGTACAAATTTTCTTTGTACGCAAAGTAAATTAATCTTTTAGATAAAAAATGATAGACGGTGAACAGCGTTTTTTATGTCGTCTTTTAAAGTAGCCTGTATCCTGAAATCATATTCCAACATTATGTGATTTGTTGGAGTGACAGAATCGTAATGAACAATAATCAATAATGAACAATTTATCAATTAGTAAGGAAAACTTGATTCAATTGTATCGATTCGATCATTCCTCGTTTGACGAATAATATCATTCAATCAGGTTTATTAGTTAGAAGAAGATAGGTGATGAACAGTGTTTTTCACATTGTTCTTTAAAATAATCTCTATCTTGAAATCAGGTTTCAACATGATAGGATTGAAATCTCAGAATCGCGATGAACTGTGATTTACCAATTCATAAGGAAAACTTGATTTAATTGTATCGATTCGATCATTACTCGTTTCACGAATAATTTCATTCAATCAGGTTTATTAGATAGAAAAATATAGGTAATGAACAGTGTTTTCACGTCGTTCTTTAAAATAATCTCTATCTTGAAATCAAGTTTCAACATGATAGAATTGAAATCTCAGAATCGCGATTAACCGTGATTTACCAATTAATAAGGAAAACTTGATTCAATTGTATAGATTCGATCATTACTCGTTTCACGAATAATTTCATTCAGTCAGATTTATCAGATAGAAAAATACAGGTGATGAACAGTGTTTTCACATCGTTCTTTAAAATAATCTCTATCCTGAAATCAGGTTTCAACATGATAGAATTGAAATCTCAGAATCGCGATTAACCGTGATTTACCAATTAATAAGGAAAACTTGATTCAATTGTATAGATTCGATCATTACTCGTTTCACGAATAATTTCATTCAATCAGGTTTATCAGATAGAAAAAGATATGTGATGAACAGTGTTTTCACGTCGTTCTTTAAAATAATCTCTATTCTGAAATCAGGTTTCAACATGATAGGATTGAAATCTTAGAATCGTGACGAAATGTAGTCTACCAATTAATAAGGAAAACTTGATTCGATTGTATCGATTCGATCATTACTCGTTTCACGAATAATTTCATTCAATCAGGTTTATCAGATAGAAAAAGATAGGTGATGAACAGTGTTTTCACGTTGTTCTTTAAAATAACCTCTATCCTGAAATCAGGTTTCAACATGATAGAATTGAAATCTCAGAATTGCGATGAACCATGATTTACCAATTAATAAGGAAAACTTGATTCAATTGTATCGATTCGGACATACCCTCTATCACGAATAATATTATTCAATTAGGTTTCTCCGTTAAAAAATGATAAACGTTAAATAATGTTTTTCAAGGCGTCTACTGAAGTAGTCTGTATCCTGAAATCAGGTTTCAACATGATAGGATTAAAGCCTCAGAATCGCGATGAACCATAATTTATCAATGAATAAGGAAAACTTGATTCAATTGCATTGATTCAATCAGTTTTATCTGATAAAATCATATTGATTATCGTTTGTCATAAATATCATATTGGATGAGATTTGAATGTTTTCATAATATTCGCTATTAAAACGTATTGATTATATTTTAGGTAAAATTCTGTTAATTCTTTATTCAAATAGATAGAATGTATAATAAAATTTATATTTATCAATATATAAACTAGTCAATATTGAATCATGACATTCATATTAGGAGTAAAACAGATACAACTTTATTAGTTATGATAGAAATGTTATCAAGTCACGCCAGTGCTTCTGATATAACCTTATACAACTGTATTAATTATGATATAAAGTTGTCGAATTTTCTATAATATCTAATACCGTTCTATCCATTCTTTTGAGCAGGGATGGGAGATAATGGTGACTCCATAAAAGTTCCATACACTTGTTTGTATATTTTGTTGTTAAAAACAAAGTATGTCGAATCAAAAATAAAATCGATAGTTTTGATAAACTTTTTTTTTTCTTCTAAAGGAATCTTAGTGTTAGTCATGATTGTTTGCCATTTTTTCTTTGTACTATCAATAGCAAGATCCAGAGGAATATTAGTGAACATCGAAACAACATCTAAGGAAATCAATACGTCTGAATCATTAATCCGTTTGCCCTCCAATTTTTTTAAATAAATCGAAACTGTTTTTAATATATTTACTATCATAAGTTAAGCTTTTTGAAATGATGTTATGTAGCGTAGTTGATATCCCATATAAAACCGTATTAATCAAAGAAACAATAAGTCGAAAAGGAAAATTGATTTTATGAATTTTAGGAATACCATAAACCTTGGGCAAAGACGATGGACTATAGTTTGAAAGATTAACCGTACTTCGTTTATTGTTACGTTTTATTTTGTCATGTATCATTTATAAAGGAGACTGAAGAGGACTTATGTATAAGTTGAAACGTTTCTCATTTTTTAATTATAGAATATTTTAATAAAAATTGTCATTATTTAATTTGTTGGCTTGTTTTAATACCGTAATTTTAATATCATTATTTTTTATTTTAGTTGTTTTTAAAATATAACAAGCGTTATCTTTGTAATTACATTTTTATTTGTTTATAAGTGATATATATATATATATATATATATATGTGTGTAAAGTTAAAAAGTAAATTATAATAAAAATGACAGGTAATAAGAGTCAGCCGCTGATAATTATTAATAAATTTATTTTAATATATCAAACAATACACCTTGTACGTTTCGACTCCTGGTTTGAGTCATCTTCAGCAACCATTTCAAGTGAGAATGTCAAGAGAAATTACAACTAGAATATCCATAGAATCATTCCAACCATAGCGACAGCAACAATTGTGAGGTAAGCCACATACTCATATATACATATATATGTTACATATATGTATATATACAGGGTGATCCGAAATTCGCGCATTCGGAGTACAGGACATGATACTTTATGCTAAAACAAACAACGTTTTCCTTTAGCAAAATTATGTCCGACAAATAGTTTTTGCAATAGAGCTTGTTGAAGTTAACGAATAATCGCTCGACTTTATTATTGTAGCTTTAGCCGGGCGATTTTACTTTACTTTTTAATCACTGTTACAAATGTACTCGTTTGATTAGTAAATTTAAGTTTATTCTTTAAGTTTAATAATACTATTCAATTATCACGTAAGATTGTACAATATTTGAAATAAGAAAACGCTTGCGAAGCATATTATTATTTATATTTGTCTTTATTTTCAGATTATTATTATGCAAGCAGACAATTTTTAATTCATTTATTACGTAAGAAAAAAAGGAAGTATTTATTTCATTAACTTTTCATTATTTATGCAACACAATATGGCAAAAGGTCAAATGCCGATATTGTTGTCATAGCTTTTTCTTATTATTTAAGATAAGATATCTTAAGTACAGTCTTAAGATGTCATAAACTAATCATAACAAAGCCGTGTGAGCGTCTTAGAAGACATCATTTATGAATACTAGTCACGGACTAGGTACATGCAAGTGAGGCGTGCGCGCCGACCCTGAGCGCTTATTCGTTAACTTCAACAAGCTTTCTTGTAAAAACTATTTATTGGACGCAATTTTGCTAAAGGAAAAAGTTGTTTGTTTTAGTATAAAGTATCATTCCTATACTCCGAATGAGCGAATTTCGGATCACCCTGTATATATATAATGTACGTATGTATGTATATATAAAATATTCAAATATGATAATATAAGTTGGTAACTTCGCATGTAATAGTTCAACAGAATAGACTGATATAAAAAATATACTTTCTCGTAGAACTCATGTATAGTAGTAACTATGAGATTATCGAGGTAAAGGTACTTCAAAACCTTTTTGTAATTTATTTAGGTACTGCTTGCGACATTCCATGTTCTCGGCTGGTCTATTATATGGCAACCAAACTGGCTCTCCCACGAAATATCTCTTTGCTTTTATATAATTCTAAAAATTTTCTTAGAAATTAGATATCCATTTATTATGCACAGAGATTAGAAATTTATTTTTAGTTTACTTCGAATATATTAGAGATTTGTTTAATATCTACCAAACACAAAAAGATTGTTTCTTGTATGTTTAAATGAAGATCAGCAAAAGAAAAGAAATAAAATATATGTGTCAAGAGATCAAATATAAAAAGAATTTACAAGCATTTGTAAATATTCTTACGTTAATGTCCAGTGTGAAACGATGATAAATCCCACTGGGTATGATTAATAAATCACCAGCCGTTACATTAATCCGTATCCATTGATCATTCTTGTCCCGTACATCAAAATAGCCTGACCCATCCAGAACCAGACGTATTTCCTCGTCAGTATGAAGATGTTCGGTAAAGAAATGTTTTAACTAAAAATCAAAATTGAACGGAGACATTGAGCACACATACAGAGGACTCAACAGTTGAGTGAGCGCTCGCTGTTATTATTGTATTCTTCTAGATCTAAAATTCTGATTGGATAATCTATAAAAGAATACACCAATAACAGCAAGCGCTCACTCAACTGTTGAGTCTGTTGAACGCGCCCATTAATACAATTGAAGAAATATATTATTAAACACACACACATATATATATATATATATATATGTGTGTGTGTGTGTGTGTGTGTGTTTAATAACATATTTCTTCAATTGTATTAACGTAATTATTATTACTTATTATGAAAAAATATCAAAATTTTTCATTATGTTAAAAATGGCGAATAAGAGTCAAATTACAATTTAAAATCTGAATCTAATAATCTTTTTGCAAGACCGAAAATCTTTCGGCGCGCAATAATTAAGAAGAGGGGATATTTAAAAATTCAGATTATTAGATTTGCGTTGCAAGACCGACAATTGTTCGGCGCGCAATTTGGGGGGACTACATACATTATATTAATAGAACGTTATTTCTTAACTTGGATAAATATTGCGAAGAATATTACTACGTCGACCCGCCATCAGAGGTCTATCGATATTCGCAAATTCTCGCAAGTGCTGAGACACGCATATATCTCTTTATATAGCATCTCGATTTAATAACTTACACCGGCGTCTAAGGTAGGCTTCCATTACAATACCTTACTGATGAGTCCAGTAGTGGAAGCCGGGACGAAACGCCAAAAATTACGTGATATTCTTCGCAATATAGAATATTAGAATAAATTAT